TAAGAAAATAAGTGAACAAATGTATGAGTTTGTATAAAAAGGAATATCTATTGCTATATTGATTTATGATAATAGAGATGAGAAATAGTTCAAATAACCATCCATGAAGGATTTTGTTCAATGCTATGATATATACATGCAATGGAATACTCTTCAGTCATTCAAAGTGATTTTGTATTTCTTGACATTGGAAAATGTCCATGATATTTTTGTTAAGTGAAAAATGAGATTAGAAAACATCATGCATAATATGATCTCTCTTTTTGCAAAAAAGTGTGTGTATATATATAGGTATATATATGTATAAAACATCTACCCATCTCCTTACCTCCTTGCCTACTAAGATCTGAAGGACATAAACAATGGTTCTCTCTGGGTGATAGAATTATGGATCATGTTTACTTTCTTCTTTTTGGCTGTTTGTATTATCTGATGTTGTAATAGTGTTTGTGTAATGCTTTTACAATTAGAAAAAAGCTTAAAAATTGTCTTTTTTAATGAGAAGAAAAATATTCAGAAGAAAAAAAATAAAGAATTTCCAGCTAGACTCAATATTTCAGAAGCCTTGGGGCCACCTTGCTCAGCTGAGTGGAAAATAATGTTATTTCCACTCAGACTTGTAGGTAACCCCATTCTTAAAGTATAAGACAGAGAGGCAGCATATGATAGAATATTTTATATAAGAGGAGTCATTATATTTGTAGTGTACATTTTCTTAGTATTAGGACTTGGGGTAAAGTGGCATCCAGGAAAAGCTGTTGCTCAAAGTTGCTCTCTATACTCCTAATCTCAGCTACTTATATCTAAGCCCACAGCTTTGGGATGAAATATTGAAATCATAAATTTGCACCATTCCTTTTTCTTGTGTTATGCTTTTTGAGTTCAGTGGGAGTTCATTAAAAAAGAAAGTGTAACCAAAGAACAGGATCTGAATGAAAGTAGCTATTGAAAAGAAATGACCAAAATGCTTATATTTAAACCTGTCAAATGTGCTTAGATAATTTCATAAACATGGATATATAATTTTCATACATATCATACATATGACTTGTTTCAAATTTAATGTCGTGAAACCATTTTAGACACTTCGAGTCCCGGGTTAATTTTGCTGCTGTAGCTGCCTTATTATTAAAGGCATGCTTAGAAAGCTACAATTAAACCCTGCTATGGTTTCTCAGAAAATTACTACATTGAATACATTTCACCAATTCACATGTCTTCTGCTGAAAGGAAAACAGACTGAGAATTTTGATTAATCTGAGAGGAAAACTCATTCTGTATTTCATTTTTGTAGCATGATCACGTCTTTTGTTATTAGAAAAATTCATGTTCTTTAACTAAATCATAAAGTGACTCCACTGCTTCTGAGAAGTATCCCAGTGCTATAACTAGGAATTGATATTTCTTCTTTAATCAACAAAATATGTATTGGTATTTTTGAACATCTACTTGGTGGAAAATTATTGGTTTGAATGTGCAGGGTTCTCAAATGCAAATGGCTTCAGGACCAGGCTTATAGCATTAATCACGTGATCTGGGCTATCTATTATACATCAGGGAGTGATGGGGCCTTTGGTGAATGGGAACATAATGTTGGCCATAAAGTCATAGAGATTCTTTAAGACACTGTGTAGGCCAAACAAAATGCATCTTGGTCCTAATTCCTAACGCCTAGTCACCCAGGAAAAATGTTATAGTAGATTAAATTTCTCTCATAAATCATACAATTTTAGAGCACTTACTTAGGTAATCTTGTAGATCTTCTGGCACACACTGGTGCAGCAGCCCAAGCTTTCATGATCTATTTTGACTGGTTGGGGCATTAGCCAAACTGATTGGCTGGTCCCATTTCCTGAGCTCTAATAATGAAACTGGTTCAGAGGTTGAACATCTTAAAGGTCTCTCAGGTAGGGTAGTAAGGAATGGAACTGGGAATTCAAATCAAAATTTCATGTACTTTCTCCCTTTCTCTACTATTGGCAGGGTAGGGCTGTCCCTTAACTGTCCCTCTGGCACTGTGTCTTAGTCCAACCTAGAGGCAAGCTGTGGCTGACTCTATGTGTAAACCAGCTTGCTACAGGAGACCAAGAACTGTGAAGGTGAAGACCTGGGTTCTAGCCGTGGGTCTGACACTAGCTAATCAAGTGGCTAGAAGTCAGATAACTCAACTGTGGAAACATGAGCTGTCAGAGGCAGTCCTTGTGTCTGAATCCAGTTTACCAGGTTCCAAGCTCAAAGCTCTGGCTTTTGTATCAAAGTCCAGATTCTCTTCTTTTAAACAGGGTGTCATGGTTTCAATCCCTTTCCCAACAGATTCTTTTTTTTTTTTTTTTTTTTTTGAGATGGAGTTTTGCTCTTGTTGCCCAGGCTGGAGTGCAGTGGTGCAATCTCAGCTGACTGCAACCTCCACCTCCTGGGTTCAAGCTATTCTCTGGCCTCAGCCTCCTGAGTAGCTGGGATTGCAGGCATGTGCCACCAAGCCTGGCTAATTTTGTATTTTTAGTAGAGATGGGGTTTCTCCGTGTTGGTCAGGCTGGTCTTGAACTCCGACCTCAGGTGATCCACCCGCCTTGGCCTCCCAAAGTGCTGGGATTACAGACATGAGCCACTGCGCCCGGCCACAACAGATCAATTTAACCTTTCAATATAGAGTGCCTTAAGAGGACTGACTAGACGACTCTTTTTTCCGACCATTCTCTTTTCTTTTTATAGGTTGTATGCAAGCCAGTATGTGCCTAACTATGCTTTGCTGTGCTTGTGGTGGCGTGGGGCTGTGAATGCCACAGTTGCCTCAACTCTTCATGCAATTCCGCATGCCAAGAATTGTAATAAACTGCCCTTCATTACGCAGCTTGGAAAAACAGGCACTCTTTTGTTTTAGCATTTGCTATTTGTATTATGTGGTTAAGCATTGTATGTTACGCTTGCAAAAATGTATAGCTCGTAGTCATTGAAGGGAGTTGTGTGTAGCTTTTTCCCTTCCTAATAAATCGTTTTTGTGAGAACCAGCTGGTGTTTGAAGAGCTAAGTTCCAGGAAGAAAAAGAAATGACAGCTATAGAGCGTGGGCAAAGTTCTAAAAATATGGAAGCCCAGTCTGGCCAAGAGATGTTGGCCTGTGCAGAGAAAGTGCAGTGACAATATCAGCAGAGCCAGAAAAACTGTCCCTTTTCTGCCTGGAAAAGGGTTCATGTGAGATGTTAGGAAGACAGTTTAAGGAGAAAAAAGTCGTAAGTAAATAGAATTTCAGCCAATACTTTAATGAACTTCACCCTTCTTTGGAATGTTTTCACTCTCTGAGGGGAAAACAGAGATTGAGTCATTTATACAGCGAGTGAGAACTTTACTCAAAATGAGTACTCAGGAGATGTTTTCCCTGTGGTGCTTTCTGAAGTCGCAATTTATGAGCTCTGCAACATTGTCGGAGAAATGTTCATTTCCAAGGAACTTGTCTCCCTTGCTTTCTTTATTATTTGGCACTGTAAATTTTCATGACTGTGAGGAGGATTCCCTGACATAGTTATCTGATGGGAAAGTCTGATCCTCTCACTTAAAACAATGATTTTTCATGTCTGTTCTACCTCCCTCTCCCCTTTGTAACTCCCTAAATTTCACACGTAGCACTCTGACTTTATAAATCTTTTTCTTTGATTCTGCAAACTGATTGTTAAATGTATGATATCATTCTTGGAACCATGTGACCTCTGGGTTCCTAAAGGCAGATGTGATTTTGGTCCTGGACAGCAGAAGGAGATGTTGAGCTTGAAGTTAATGTATCTTTTTGTTTTGTTTTTGTTTTTAAACTTAGTATGTAAACAACTGGTGTTACATTTTCAAATAATTAGACAGCCGAGGGCTAAAATAGTTATTTTGGTAAGTGGACATTCTCTTCTTTCAGAGAAGACTCAGCATAAAACGATTTTAATAAATATTTTCTACACAGGATGAGTAATTTCATTTCACTAAAAGACACAGTATTCACTTTCTGGTCTTGTGTCACTCCCCATGTTCTCCTGAGCGCTCATTTTGTAAATGCTGGTTATGACCCATGCTGGATAGTTCTCTGGTTGTGGTTGAAACTTCTGTAGGTATGTCAGCTTGCCCTACGTTACTTCAAAGCCTGCACTCAACTGCTCTTGAAGAGGAAATTCCCTTCCTTTAAAGGCATCATCTTTCCATTTTGGAGAGAACAGTAGAATGCCACTTCTAAGGGTGCTCTGTCACCCTACAATCTTCCTCTTAGATGGCAGAGATGCATGGGATGTGGGCAGGATTGTTTTATAGCTACTGCTAATTAGATCTGGAGCATTTGGAGGGCGTTTCCATTTGGAACAAGCCTCTATAATTTGGTGTCTAGTTTTTATCCTAGAAGATTTATTATATTTTTTAAGCTAATGAGTACATTTTTTGCTTAAAATTGTCTATTCTATTATAATGGCTATGCCCATTCAGTAAGTACCATCATTTTTTTTCTTGTTAAAATTTTTAAAAAATATATTTCTCAGAGGACCGCTATTTTAAGCTGGATCGTATTACATTGTACCTCGAATTGATGAATGTATTTTATAGATAGATGCCCTGGAATTCCTAGAAGATTTCATCAATTGTCTTTAGTCTTGTGCTTTCCATTATTTAACAGTATTGCATGTCAGACAGTGGTTCTTAAGCCCTTGAAGCTCAGACAATCTTAAGTACCAAATCTATCAAGATCCCCTAGTTCAAACGCAGCTCAAGATGGTGATTTAGCTTTTAGGTAATTTGAAACGTTTAAGATGATTGTGTTTTCACTATGTTTACTCTCCTACATACTGGAATTTGGAAATTTGCTATGGTATTCCCATCACAAAGAATTATCCAGCTTGCTTACTGAAACTGGGTCTTATGCCATATTCTGTCTGAATAGTGGTGAAATAAATTTACCTCTAGGCGAGTTTCTTGTTAGAGTTAGTAGGTATGCTCTGTATGCTTTGTTATGTTTCACTTTTCACTCTCTCCTTTAAGGAAAGCAAAAGAAAATTTGTCTGGACAAAACAGAAATGTTTCCAATGGCCATGTAGTTTGTGAAAAAAAGCAGCAGCTGGAGTTGGATTCTATTGTAGAAGAAACCGTAACAGGAGATTATGCCTTAATCATAAATGGCCACAGTTTGGTGAGTTTGCCTAAGGTTTTTGTCCTTTCTTTTTCTTCACCGCAGTAATCATCTCTTTTGTGCTATCGTAATGAGACCTCCTTTGTCTTTTCCAGACAAATGTCACTACTAAATACAGGGCATACGCGATGATTTCCTGTTTGCAAAAGGAAAGGAAACTTCTAATCTATATCTCATACATTATTGTTTGGATCACCACAGTGAAGGGGAGGCTCCAAATAAATGCTAAATTCACAGAATATCAATCTTGTCTAAATGACTGTAGACCACTTAGCAGTATTATTTAAGTGCCTTTCTAGAGGGGAGTGTTACAGCTCACTGTTACTTAATTAAAATAATGCAAGTGGGTGGATGTATTATAATTATTGCTCTTACTAATGTTTGTGACTTGTGGAGCACAACCTGACCTTCATGTAATTACTATACCAAATTATTGCCATTAAGATACCTCTAGTGGTTTTTCTAAATAGCAGCATTTTACAGCAATGCCAAACAATTTGCTTTGATTAGGAAATCTGGTTCTTGTCCTAATAGAATGAACTTGCATTGTACTTTTAATGTAGTTCAGATTCTAAATCTTGAACAAACATGAAAATACTCTTCTGAGTTTCTAATTTAAAATACAAAAGCTCCAATTACACACCAGTGAAATTATAATTTATATGCACAAAGAATTAATCTCACATCTTTCTCTGGCTTTGATGATCATTTTTCACTTTGGAGTTTGGAAAATAAATATATCTTCTTGTAGACAGTTTCTTAGAGGACAAAAGAAGTTGGATATGAGGATATTGTGTTTTCTCCCTTGCGATCAGCTGTCTGTTGTTAGCTCTTAGTGCTTAGAGCATTATCCAGCTGGATTCCAGACATAATGATGTGTTGCCTTCTACACCATGGAAAGTTACAGAGCTCAGCTGCAGGCCAAACTCAGTTGAAAGTTTGTCCAAATGACACAAAATTCTCTTTTGCACAGAATAACAGTAACTGAAAATTATGACTGTCATCTGGGTCTTAAAGCTGGTGGCCCCCAAGCTGAATTGCCCAGAGACCACAATATAGAAAGGGGACCTTATGAGTTATACTTTGACTTTCTCTCAGGCTCAAAGGATCCAATGTGTGGTAGCATTAGAGTACTCAGGTGATAATTTATACCATTTTCTCTGTCTCTAAGTACATTGAAAGAAGGAGGTAAGATAGATGCTCTTCAAGAACCCCGTCAGCTTCAAAGCCTGAAACTCATGGAACCATGAAATGTCATTTTTAATTTAAGGAGACTTGACTATGTTTTTGCTAGTATGGTCAGAAATTTTTTTTTTTTTCCCTAAATCATGATTCTAATTTGCTTAAATCCTGATGTTTTGCAGAATGTAATTGGGCCTTTGTTTTTGCTCAGAGTCTTAGCATAGTTTTTCACTTGCTGATAATAAAAAGAGAGAGAGAGGAAGGGGGGGGGGAGAGAAAGAGACCATTCTAGGCAAGACAGGCAGTTATCTGTTTTCTCTTTCAGAAAGAGTGATAATATTTGAAAATGCCAACTCACAATTTCACCTAGGGATTATAGGTTTGAACATGAGAATTTTCTGTGCTGAGTTATGTTTTTATATTCATTTACCGATCCAGCCATTCATCCATTGGCATTTTTATTAAGCCTGCCCAGGTCACAGTGCTGAAGTCTGAGGATAAGATTGTGAATAGAACATGGTTCTTGTTTTAGGGAATGCTGTCTAGTGGATGAGATAATCACACAGTGGTATGACAAATACTGTAAAAGAGGAATGAACACAATGCTTTGAGAGCACAGAGGGAGACAAATTTACTTCCTTGTGGGAGAATCAGGGAAGACTTCCTGGAGAGAGTGATATTTTCAAGGAGAGGTAATGGCAAGTACAAAGGCACAGAGGCAAGAAAGAGCCCATTCAATCATGAGGAACAAGCAATTTGGCATGATGGGAAAAAAGTGTAGACTTAAAGGTGATGCTAGAAGATAAAACTCAAAAGGAACGCAGGGGCCAGATTGTGATGGGCTGTGAATGTCTTGCTAAAGATTCACGCAAAGATACTGATGACTCAAAGTGTAAGTGGATTTCTGTTTCCTCTTAATGTGTTTATTAAAGAATTTACAGTAAAACTTTTCTAGGAAAAATATTGCACAGTTAATTGGAAGGGATTGTGCTATCTTTTTAAGTAATTTCTTGGCATATCTAAAGGCTCTTATGCATTTGGATAGGAGCAAGAGTAGAAACGGTTGAGGAACCCTGTCTGTGACACAGCTTGCATGCCCCTCTTTTGCACAGGCCTCTCTGGGTTTCAGTCATTATGTTCTTCAAGGGACAATCCCCAGATCATCTGCTTTGCATCCTGCCTGCACATTAATAATCACAACAACAAACTAAATATACAAAACAACAATGCAAAGAAACAAAAAGCCCATCACATAGAATAAACAAATCATCATCATTTGTAGTTCATTCTAAACTTGGTGAGCTGGTAGATAGGTTCTGTCTTTTGTTTTCAGCAATTTTAATGGTTTCTAGAACTTCTCCAGCATTTAACTCTCTCTCTCCAGTGCAGCACTATATCAAGGAAGACATATAAATGGCAGTTTCTTTTATTTTTATTTTGAAATTCATTAGTAGTATTTTTAAATTCGCTTGGTAGGAGTTCAACACTTATTTCTTTAGTTTTTGTTGCTTGTGTGATTCTGAATCAACAATGACTTTTTGAAGTGAATGAAACAGTTTAGCAAACAAATCAGTTGAGAAACAAGACATTTATTGTTTCCTGTTCTTTTTTGAATTTTATTTTTAATCACACAGGCTCATGCCCTAGAAAGTGATGTCAAGAGTGATCTCCTAGAACTTGCTTGCATGTGTAAGACTGTAGTTTGCTGCAGGGTCACTCCACTCCAGAAAGCCCAAGTGGTAGAGCTGGTGAAGAAGTACAGAAATGCTGTTACTTTGGCCATTGGTGATGGAGCCAATGATGTCAGCATGATTAAAAGTAAGAGGATATTTGCTCAATGGGGTATGCTGCATACATGGGGTCCTCAATTTCAGCGTTTGGCAATATATAATCACTAGATTGCATTAAAATTTAATTTTGCCAGTGATTCTAAAATGAATGATACCTCTGGGTCCAATGCTACCACCATTATTAGCATTCATAACAAAATTTCTTTGTCTTTAAATAAACCATTTGTGTATTTTTAGGCTAGAAAAGGACGTCATTCACCTTATACTATTTGAGGAAGTAAGTAGGTACAGTGTAGAGGAAAGAACACCAGGCCCACATTTGTAATATGTGACTTTAACCCCATCTTTGCCACTTAAAATTCTAAAAACTTCTGTAAGTCACTGAACTTTTCTGAGCCTGGCTTCCTCTTTTGTAAAACTAAGATAAATACCTATCATAAGCGTTTCATGAGATAATATATGTGAAAATTCGTAATTGCAATGGCTACAAGTTTTCCATAAATAAAAGAGGAATGACAAGTTTCCGAAAGAGATCGTGGCTTTGTTTTGGGAATGACAGTGTTCCTCTTTCCTTTGTAGGTGCTCACATTGGTGTTGGCATCAGCGGTCAGGAAGGATTGCAAGCAGTCTTAGCCAGCGACTATTCATTTGCACAGTTTAGATATCTCCAAAGGCTTCTCCTTGTTCACGGAAGGTGGTCTTATTTCCGAATGTGCAAATTCTTATGCTATTTCTTCTATAAGAATTTTGCATTTACACTTGTGCATTTCTGGTTTGGTTTCTTCTGTGCTTTCTCAGCCCAGGTTGGTAAAAAGCATTTTTTTTTTCATATGATATTAGAAATGACTCTTCTTCATAGCTCTTTACTAATAATAATAAATTGAGAGTTTTTAATGACTGATTCAAGTGACAGTATTACAATTATGTAATTGATAGTTGACTTGAGCTTTGCACCCAAGAAGAATATGTATCTAGCTGGAATTTTATTTATTTATTTTCTTATTTAGATAGTCAACCAGGGAGTACTCCTTCCGTGCATACTTTAGTGTTTGTTGAAATGTTTTTGGTATGATGACAGGTAAGCTTGTAGAGTTTTAATTTAGAACAGAAGTCTGCGAATCACTAATAAGAAATTTTGAGGTATCTTTACTGGGAAGATGGTTTCTTATCTAACACACTAAATGTATCTGGGCTGAGGGTAAATGTGTTTTATATTAGGGAGAAGTAGTTGGTAGTCTGACACCAAAGCTGTTTAGACAGCAATTCATCAGCTAAAAGTTGATCTATAGATAATACTAGTAGGAAGAAAGAAAAATTAGCAAATTTATAAATTAGGATTCTGTTTTTATCACTTCTTATACATTTTAAAGGATAGTTATTTAGCCACACATCTTCAATATCAGAAAAGTTTTGACCCAATGAATCAACTGTAAAATGTAATGTCTATATCATCTAAATATACTTGTAAATTTTAAAAAAGTTTTACCAAAAACTTAAATGTAGATATGGCATTGACATTTTGAATAACACAAGAAAAAGATTGTCCTTGAGAATGAAATGGTAACCATAACTCTCAGAGATTTATCCAGTTGTTCTTCCCTTCTTTGGGTTTTATCAATGACACTGGATTCAACGATATGCATGAAGGTGATTTTTAAAAAAATCATTTTATTCCAAAAAGACTGAATATAAATGAAATCTTGGCATCTTCTGTTCTCTTACATGTACTGAGGGAGATTAGTGAATTCCTTTTTACAATGAAAATACGTTTTCAATATTTTTCCCTTTTTCTGGGAAGTTGAGATTTCTTAAAGTGAGGCACATCTGTTCCCATTCCTAATTTTCTGTTTTTAGGATAACATGCCCCAAACTAAGAGTAGATTATGTTGATATTTTTGCCTTTTTTTTTTGTTAATCTCTTGACAGTTGAAGTAAAGCAGAGTCTTGATTTTAGCTACTCAGAATTAGAACTTATCTTAGTGCTACTTCAGAGTAGGCATGGGGCTGGAGATATTTACATGCTCATAATTCCTCCTTTGTCCAACAAAGACAAGCATGGGAATGTGGCCTGTGGCTTCCTAGTCTGTTGATTTTCCTTCCACATGAGAACAAAGCAAGACCATCTGCTAACGGGTGTTTCTAAGAGATCTAGTTTTCATATTCCAAAGGCTTAAGGCTGAAGAATCTCAAGACTATGAAGGGACAAACCCCATTTAAACCTCTTAGAACACAGAAGAGTAGTCAATGATTTGTATGTGCAGACGCACTAAGCTTGAATAGGCAACTGTTCCTCTAAGTTGTCTATTAAAACTGTGAAGTCGAAACTAATGTTCAGTGACTTCTAACTTCTACATTTAGGTTATTTTCTGGGTTCTGATAAAATTGGTCAGAGCCAGATGTTAAGCAACTAGAATTTTTATTCTTTCATCGGTATTTGCATTTTAAAAGAGCAAGGGAGAATAATAATTGCCCCAAAGACATGAGCAGCTTGATGGTTGAACCCAGCCGTAAGGCACACCACCTGTCTGTGATTAGGTTTCTGAAATGTTTGATTTAACAAACATGTTTCTTTTCTGTGTCCCTTTCTTTCCCTTTTGTTGTTTTACACTGAAAGCTCTAGTTAATTGCACAATCTTCATTTTGAATCCATTGTTAGTCCCCGTTGACCATCTGTGTTCTTTCCTAAGCCGGTGAATTGGGCTGGACCAGTGGTTCTCAAGCTTTAGCGTGCATGGGAACCACATGGAGGACTGGTTAAAGCACTGCCCGCTGGGCTCTAGACCCTAGAACTGTACTTTGAGAACCACTGGGCTAGAAAACCTAGAAGAATATCCCAAGTTCTGCTTCCTTGAACACAGACCAGAGTAAAGTCCAATCTGCTGACTTTTTGTTTTGTCAACAACATTAGACCCTATTCACCTTTTCAAAAGCAGAGGGGCCAGTTAAGCAAACAGCTGATCTCCCCCAGTTGAATTTTTCCAGAGGATTTAAAATCCTTTCAGCCCTCCTGCCAGGTCACTGTTGCTGAAGCATATTTTACCTGCAGTAAGACAGGGCAAGGTGGACAAAAGATGTCTGTTCAGGGTACAGGATTTCTTTCCCCAGGTTAGCCAGTCTATTATGAACTCACCTAGCTTAACCATTAGCTCCTTGAGGAAAAGAAGTACATCTAACTCATCAATACATCTGTAATAAAATCTTGAATGTTACCTGCCATATAGAAGGCCTTCTAGTCATTTCATGTTGTTGGGTGTTTCTATAGCCCTTTCCCATGCTTGAGGCAGTTGCAGCAAAGAGAGCCATTCCGACATGCCTACAGTCACTCACATAGTTGCCACTTACTCTACCCACCCCAGGGGCCATCCCTGCAGGCTCTGGATCTGGTCTGTGTAAATGTGTGCAGCCTGACCATCAATGTGGCAAAGGGGCTCAGGGTCTTAAGATCTAAATGTGGTTATGGAACTGATTTCAGAATGTAGAATGCTGTTTTTCTCAGTTGTGTTAATATTAATATAATACAATAGTTAATTGGGCTACGGATGATACATTTCTTAGTTATTTATACATCCTTTCATTCTAGGAAAGACATAGAGTGGATTTTCCAGGTGTTTTGGCTGGTTCTTGGCTGATTTAAATAGGGCAGGATATATTTTTTTAGGCAGAGGAGGAATCACCGTAGAAAAATAATTCGGCCTCTGAATAGGAGTCCTGGACTGCTATCTACTTTGCCGTAATCTGTATGATGACCTTATCAAACGGAGACCTAAGCTTATACTGGAAAGGATACTTTGGTCCCACTATTTAAGGATTTCACTCATTTAATAAATATTCACTAAGCCTTTGCTATGTGTCAGGCCGTGGTGGCTCCCGGACCTTATGTCCTGAGTATGTTAAAAAGTGTGCTCTTGATGGGCATGGCGAAGTGTGATCTCACAAATTTTAGTACCTATTCATGTTGTGGAAGGCTTAAGGTTTTATTTCCATACTTGTCAGAGAAATAGATGGGCTTTCTAGGAGAGTGACAAGTAGCAATTACTTATCACCTGTTGGAGAGGACAGCCAGTCAGTGACAGTACCCATGTAGTGGCATCAATGTTGTGGGGTCAGCTTCTTTGTAGAATCATGATATTGTTGACACTAACAAGTAGGGATACAAACAAGTCATAATTATAGCTAACATTTAAATAGTACTTACTATGCTTCAGGCATTGTCTAAATGTTTTACCTGTATTAGCTCAATAGTTACAATAACCATATGAAGTAGGTTTTACAATCATGGTCTATATTAGCTTAATTATGGTAGAAAACACATAACATAAAATTTACCAACTTAACGATTTTTAAGTGTAGAGTTCGGTAGTGCTAAGTAGGTACACATTGTTGTGCAACAGATCTCTAAAATTTTTTCATTCTGCAAAGCTGAAACTTTATGTCCACTGAATAACAATTCTCCATTTCTCCTAGTACCTGGCAACCACCATTCGACTTTCTTTTTCTATGAGTTTTACTACTTTAATTACCTCATATAAATGGAATCATATAGCATTTGTCTTTTTGTGACATGCTTTTGTCATTAGCATTTAGCATAATGTCCTCAAGATTCATCCATGTTGTAGCATGTGGCAGTATTTTTCTTCTTTTTAAGGCTGAATTGCGTTACATTGCATGTATGTACTACATTTTGTTTATCCATGTATGCATCTATGGACATTTGGGTTGTTTTCACCTCTTAGTCTGTATCAGTTCTTTGTTCAATATTTTCTAAATAATATTTGGGAGTTCTACTGTCCAGTAAATTCTATTTCTTCCCACTCTCACCTCCCCATCTTATCTCTTCAGGCTTAAAAATTTACAATTCACATTAGTCTGTGAATTGTAGGCTCTGTCTGAATGTAAAGAAACACTACTATACTTGACTTCAGGATGCATATATATATATGTATTCTCACATCTGACATCTCTAAAACTTGGCTATGTCTTTACAGTCAAAAGTATATTACAATAGCCTTTGATCTGGATTGAAGTCAGGTTTTCCAGAGAGCATTTGTGTGACTTCTTCCAGTTCCCTGTGGGCACTGCTGCCAGCCTGAGATCTTTCTCTTTCCATATATTTTTTGAATTCAGATTGCAGATTCTAGTGATTAGCAGCTTGAGGTCCATGTTTTCAAGAGAGATTCTGTCTCTCCCTTTAGTTAGTGCAAAGCTGACACAGGCTAGTTTCCTTGCAGTCCCTTTCTGCATTAAGATTTCTCTTTTACACTGAGGTTGTAGCTCTTTGTTGCCCTACCTTTATGGAAATGTCAGATTCCCCATTTGGTCGAATTTTGGCATTGATAATGGTATTTCTAACAATCAATCGTGCTTTAGAGTCAGTGAGATTTGGTATTATTACCCAAACTCATTTGGCATGGAATGCTGCTTTTTCTTTTGTGTGTGTGTGTTTTTGTTTTTGTTTTTGAGACAGAGTCTCACTCTGTCGCCCAGGCTGGAGTGCAGTGGTGTGATCTCGGCTCACTGCAAGCTCTGCCTCCCGGGTTCAAGCCATTCTCCTGCCTCAGCCTCCGGAGTAGCTGGGACTACAGGCGCCCGCCACCACACCCAGCTAATTTTTTTTTTTTTTTTTTTTAGTAGAGACGAGGTTTCACTGTGTTAGCCAGGATGGTCTGGATCTCATGACTTTGTAATCTGCCCGTCTTGGTCTCCCAAAGTGCTGTGATTACAAGCGTGAGCCACCGTGCCTGGCTGGAATGCTGCTTTTTATAAGCAACACATATAATGTCCTGTAGAACAGGTGCCATATGGA